GTTGTCATAAATGTTTGTGGTATGCTTGAGTTAATGAAATCGACGCAAGTTGTAAACCAGTAAATTGCCCGTTTAAAGGCAAATTGGATGGTTCCACCCACCCAATTGGACTCTCGGAGGGTATTAGAGATCATGGTTAACATTTCAAAAAAATTTATTTTCGGGCGAAAACAAGTCAAAAAATTCAAAAATTGAAGGCTATATCCACGCTTTTTGAGAATTTTTGGAGTCTTCGGGGCCCGGTGTTGAAAAGTCTTGAAATTCTAGGGAATACATCTTGGGATCATATAATGTCGTTTGAAACTATATATGATCATTATTTGTTGTCATAAATGTTTTTGGTGGACTTGAATTAGTGAAATCGGTGTAAGTTGTAATCTGGTGAATTGGTTGTTTAAAGGAAAATTGTATGGTTCCACCCACTTAATTTGACTCCCGGAGGGTATTTGAGACCATGGTAAACATTTCAGAAATTTTTATTTCCGAGTGAAAAAAGTCAAAAAATTCAAAAATTTGAGGGCTAATATCTACTCTTTTTGAGAAATTTTGAATTTTTTGGGGCCCGGTGTCGAAAAGTATTGATATTTTAGGGGATACATCTCGAGGTTATAATGCTTTTTGAATCTATATATGATCATTATTATATGTTGTCATAAATGTTCGTTGTAAGCTTGAGTTAATGAAATCGGTGCAAGTTGTAAACCGGTAAATTGGTCGTTTAAAGGGAAATTAGATGGTTCCACCCAACCAATTGGACTCTCGTAGGATATTAGGGACCATGGTAAACATTTCGATAATTTTTATTTTTGGGTGAAAATAGTCAAAAAATTCCAAAATCGAAGGCTAATATCCACGCTTTTTTAAATTTTTTGGAGTATTCGGGTAGAGCTGTCAATTCGGGTAAACGGGTCGGGTTTGGGTCAATAAGAGTGGGTCGGGTCAACTCGGGTCGGGTCAATTCAGATTAATTCCATCACCTATGCGGGTTGGGTCATGCTTGATTCGGGACACGTTGGGTGATAAATCTTATCGGGTTTGGGTCGGGTTTAGGTTGGTTAAATAACATGTTGGGTTACATTCGAGTCGGGTGAACAATAGGTCGGGTTTAATTCGAATTTTCACGGGTTAAAACAGGTTAGGGTCATTCTCGGGTTCGAGTCGGGTTCGGTTCAATTAAATAATTTGCGGGTTATAATCAGGTCGGATCATTCTCGGGTTTGAGTCGGGTTCGGTTCAAGTTAATAATTTGCGGGTTATAACCAGGTCGGGTCATTCTCGGGTTAAAATCGGGTTTGGTTCAAGTCAATAATTTGCGGGTTATGATCAGGTTGGGTCGTTTCCAAGTCGGGTCATTCTCGGAGTCAAGTCGGGTTATTATGTTCAAGTCAATAATTTGCAGGTTACAATCAGGTTGGGTAATTTCCAAGTCAGGTCATATTCGGGTTAGTTGAACTAACTATAAATAGATAATTATCATTTTTATCAAGATAATTATTTCCTTTGACTATAATATATATGGCAATATACTAAGAAACTATAGTTTATAATATAGGAAGGTAATTATCTCCTTTGACCATACAATAAATATATATATTCTATATTTAACTCTTAAATTTGAGGATGATTCTCGTTTCTTTTGCTGGTCTGGACCGACTTGATCTCCCTAGACAAAATGCTTTGATAAACAATAATAAGGTGGTCTAAATTGCATTTAATTAAGGTGATTTGTAATCGGGTCAGGAACAATTTGGGTTGAATTTAGGTCGGATCAATAACAAGTCGTGTTGATTTCGAGTCGGGTTAGTAACAGATCGGTTTGAATTTTTGGGTCGGGTTAGTTATAGGTCTGGTAAAATTTGGGTCGGGTCAATAACAAGTCGGGTTGAATTTGGGTTAGGTCAATAATAAGTCGGGTTTGTAACAGGTTGGGTTAAATTCGGGTCGGGTTAGGAACAGGTTGGGTTGAATTCAGGTCAGGTTAGTAACAAGTCGGTTAAATTTAGGTTGTGACGGGTTAAAATGAGTTTGGGTCAATTTCGATTCAGGTCGGGTTCGGTTCACATCAATAATTCGCGGTTTACATTCGGGTCGGGTAATCTCCAGGTCAGTTCATGTTCGGGTTCGGGTCTCACATACTCGGGTCAACTCGAGTCTAGGGGTTGTTTCAGGTCGAGTCAGGGTCACCTTTTTTCTGGTTCAGATTATTCGGTTAATAATCGGGTTTGAGTCGATATTTCGGGTCGGGACAACTTTTGACAACTCTAATTATAGCCTCCCCCCAAAAAAGGCTCATCAGGTCATTCGAAATAATACTCAATGGACCATCTGCCCATCTTGTATTGTAATACCCCGTATTTTCATACGTATTTTCCTAATTAATTATTATTTTCTCAAAAGGGTATTTTAGTAATTCAACTTACTATTTAAATCTTGGAGCCAAAATGATATTTGAATTTTGGCGCCAAAAGTATTTTGAAAACTAATCATTATTTTGGATAAGATTTATTATCCATTTATCCTATTTTAAAAACCGGATTATTTATATTTCAGATATTTTAATTAAGGCAAAAACTATATTTTATTATTATTTTAATAGGTCCGAAAATCCCAATTAATTAGCTAATAATTTTGGATTTTCCTACGTGAAAATCTGATTTTTATTTAGTTAAATTATTTGGTGAATATTTGGTATTTTATTATTTAATTATTTATTACAATAAATATTATTTACACAATTATTTTTAATTCCTTTAAACTAGCAAAATATATTCCTAAATACTAAATAGGAAGGCCGAAAATATGAGCTTAGGAAAGCTCAATAATTTCGGCCATCCCATAAAGATTTTGGGAAAATATTTTGGTAATTTGTATTTTTAATTATCTCCCTTAAATCTCCTATTTTCCATAATTCTAATTCTCCATCTTTTTGATATCCAATTATTATATTTTCTTGCCATTCATTCTTCTTAATTATTCCCCAAGCAATTCCAATTTCCTTAACATTTTTCATGACATACATACCTTCCATATTCAATTATACATAATCCCTTCAAATATCAAAACTTTCCTTAAATCTTTGCTCACTTCTCCAAGTAATCTCTTAAATCCTAATTACCATAATTCTTCCTACATTTTCCTACCATAATTCATGCTCATACTAGCCTATAAATACCCCTTCATACCTCTCACATTTTTCACACCAATTCTCTTCTTTTTCTTCTCCTCAATTTTACACAAATCATCCCGTTCATCTTTGAAGCCAATTTTCGGGCACCTTTGGTCTGTTTTTGGGGTAGTGACGTTTCACAAAAAGTAGTTCCTCTCAAAAAATCCTTAAGTTTAGGATCAAGAATCACCCAATTCGAAGCTATATCAAAGGAGTTATAGCCTCTGAAAGTTCTGCCTTTTATTTCCTACGCAAATCCAATTTTTTTCTTCTCCTTTTCTTTTATTCAATTATTATTATTATGGGAGATTAATATAAAATTATTATGAGTAGTTTTAAAATTATATTTTAATAATGTTCATGTTGAATTAATTTAAGAGGTTCATGTACATTTAGTTGGGAGGGTTTAATTTAATTATTTGTGATTATTTGTTAACCTTATATTGATTAAGGTTATATTTATTTGTAGGGTGTTTTTGATCAAGCTACTTGAGAGTTATTTTGAAGTGTTGTTGGCTAAGTGAAGATCAAGGTACGTTAGGTGGCTAGATACCTTGGAAGTGATCGATTTGAATGAAACATGTTTGAATGATTTATGTTGTTTGAATTAAATTGAATTGAATTATGGTTTATGAAATAAAAGTATGTTTAAAAGATTGGTTTTAATAATTAAATTGGAGTATTGATTTTTATAACATGTTTTGATTAATTAATTTATTATTTATGTTTAAAAAGGATTGATTTTAAAAGCATGTTGAATTTATTAAAAGAAGTTTGAATTATTATTATTAAAGGTTGAATTATTGGATTTAAAAGAGGATTTATTGAATTATGGATTTATTATTATTTATGCTTTATAAGCATGTTGGTAATCCCACTATGCGGATTTGGTTTATTGATAAAGCCTTGGACTTTGCATGACCAGGTCTTTCCTCAAGAATAGCCTTGTAACATAAGGAGACTAGCTTGGGGGGTGTGCACACTTGGGAGAGGAATTGGTTTTAATATGAGGAATTGGTTTTAAAATAATTGGATTTGGTTTTATTGATTATTGATATTGGAATTATTGAGAATTGGTTTTAAACCATGAGTTTGGAATTATTAGATTATTTATTGGAAATTGGTTTTAAAGCATGTTTGCGAATAAAATGAGTTTAATTATCTTGCACTTATCGTACTTAGCATATTTTTCTAACTCGTACTTCTTATTTGTTTTGGTTCGCCCTGTTTACCGTAATGGTAAGCAGTGTTGCTTATTTTCAGGTTGGAGTCAATAAATGATGCATTGGAGTCCCAGGATTGGTTTTCACTAAATTAGGAATTTGGTCTTGTATCTATTTGGAGTACTCATAACATTGGTTACTATTATGGTTATTATTAATAAAGAAGAGTATTGAAGTTTCCGCGGCAAAGTATTGTTATTTTTAGTAAGTTTGAGTAGCCTTGCGTTTTCACGCGGCGGTAATACGCCTAAATCTATCTCTATGGTATAATTATACGTATTATACTAGTATTTTCCGTAGAGGGAGATTTGGGGGTGTTACATGTATAGAGTACGTCCAGTATAATACTCCCTCCGTTTTTAAATACTTGCTCCATTTCTCTTGGACATGCATGGCGATGCTAATTTTTTATCACTAATAATGTCTTTAATTATCAACAAGTATAAATTCTAACAATTGAAAATTAATAATCTATTTATTGAGATGATTCCAACAAGTGCCCACAAGACTATATTTTTTCTTATGTATAAATCACAAACATTAGTCAAAGTAGGATAAATGAATAGAGCAAAAAATAAAAATGGAGCAAGTATTTAAAAATGGAGGGATTATTGAATAAGTGAATAATCAGCCATAAGCACATAATTAATACCTTTTTATATTTTCTTTTAGCTAATCTATTTTCTTTAAAGGGCTATTAATAGACTCAATATGATTGATTGGTGAGGCAACTTGACTTTTCGATGTACTCTAAACATTCTTCCCCATTTCCTTAATATTGTAATAATTATTATTTTAGAAAGTTCCACAAATATTACCATATTTCTTTATTTGTACATGCTTTCTTTTTATCTATTTCTCATCATATAGGTCTCTAATTCTATGTCAATTAAAAAAAAAGGAGGAAGTAGGATAATAACTTAAATGATACAAACTAGTTGAACCAAACGACTAAAATTACCTTATATTTAACACAAGCCTAGCCCGTTGACCCAAATTGACAGGTCATGATGTTGAATAAGTGAATAAAATCAACCATAATTAACACCTTTTTTTTTTCTCCCTTTGAAACGTTTCAATAGTAGTGCATAAAGCAAGAACTTTCTACAGTTTGTTGAGTTGGCCTTATCTCTTCTAAGGGACTATAAGTAGACTCATTTGGATTAGCGCGTTTCTGGCCGCACGGTACTGCAAGGTGCCATATTAGTAAGCCCTCTAGTAACCCCATTTAAGTAACCCCTCTAGTAACCTCCCAGACAAAGTAACCCCTGATCAAGTAACCCCTGACTGACCTAATAACCCCTAGTAACCCTCGACTTAGTAACCCCTAGTAACCGCAAGTAAAAAAAATAAAAAACAGAAAAGAGAATAATAGATAGAGAAGAGAGAGAATTTTTTTTAAAAAAAATTTATATTGCGGCTGGCTGCGGCCAGCCCCATATGAAACTTTGTGCATTTGAATGCGTTGACTGGGCAACTTGACTTTGTACCTTTAAACATATCATCTACTAAAATTCAAAAGACTCGTAAAAATGATAATAGGATCACAATTATATCATATTGAAAGTTCAAATGAAATTACGACCTAGCAAAATCAACCTTGTTCTCTAGTGCTGTAACCCAAGTCTCAAACAAAAGAAATATGCAAACTACCTCAAAAAATAAAGAAGAATATTAATGTTAGTGATACTTTTGACTTTCATATCAATCGCAAAACCGATCACAAATCCAACAAAATGCATCAGATCATGCAACGGAACAACAATAAACTACCCTTTCGGATTCTCCGAAAATTGCGAGTTTCAACTGAATTGCACGTCCAACGGTAGAATGGAATTCCTAGGTTATGATATTAAAAACATAACATGGAATTCCATCATACTCAGTCTCTCTCCAAATTGCAGCCGTCCGATCAACCAAATCCGACATCTTTTCGGAACAAACTACGCTTTAACTGCACAAAACAGTTTACTTTTGCAAAACTGTGTCACGCCATTATACAAGTGTGTGATTCCGAACTTGGTTGAGAGCAGGTTTTCGAAGTGTAAAGGAAGGAGGGGAATTTTGAGTTGTTATGCTAAGGAGAGTTCTACTACTTTGAGGTACGAAGATGTTATTGGTACTAGATGTCAATCCCTGTTTTCGTCTGTAGTTGTTTATGATTCCGACTCATGGTTGAGTATCAAGCGGTTGAGGTAGGTTGGTGGCTTACCGGTACGTGCCGTTGTCAACCAAGTGCTTCTTGTAGTCATGTTGGAGATTCCGGGTTTCGACGTCGGTGTCATCCGGGTTTCACCGGTGATGGGTTCATCGCAGGAGAAGGTTGTCGTCATGGTAAGTGCTTGGTCTTTTTCAATTTTCATGCTTAACATAATGGATGACTTTTGAGTGGGTATAATATAATTGTTGCCATTATATTAAATTTAATCACAACCATTCATTTATGTTGACTAATACAAACCGTTGATATAGATTACATTTATATTAGTCAATATAAAATGAATGGTTGTGATTTGGTTCAATACAATGACCACAATTTTTTTTTTTTTATTATGACCATTTGAAAACTATCCTAATATTGAAGAACAACAAACTTGAGGAACACGAAGCTTTTAGAGAGAGAAAGAGAGAGAATTGTATTGATCATTTTTAGAGAATAATATTCTGATCATTACATAAGCATGAGCACAACTAATTAGCTTTTATACTAGCTATTACAATAAGCAAAGTAGTTTGTTACAGAGGAAGGTTCTGGAATCAGTTAGTTATAACTAACTTTTGCTGACATGGCCAAGCTGCATCAAGGTGGAAATAGCTGGCTATACTGAGATGCTTCAATACCCCCCCTCAAGCTAGGAGTGGTGGAATCAACCAGACCTAGCTTGGAACTCAAATAGTTGTGTTGATGAGCAGGCAGATCTTTTGTAAACAGATCAGCCAATTGTTCCTGAGAAGGAAGATAGGACAGTTCAATTAATCCTTTTAGAACCTTTTCTCGAGTAAAGTGACAGTCCAGTTCAATGTGCTTGGTTCTTTCGTGCATGACGGGATTCTTTCCAATCTGAATAGTAGATTGATTATCACATGACAGCTTCACAGGCTTCAAATCAGCAATTCCTAGCTCCATAAGAAGCCTAACCAACCAAGTAACTTCTGTAGATGCTGCTGCCATGGCTCTATACTCAGCCTCAATAGATGACATAGAAACTGTCCCTTGTTTCTTAGATTTTCAGGAAATAGGAGAATTCCCAAGCAACATAATGTAGCCTGTTACTGATCTTCTGCTATTAGGACAAGAGCCCCAGTCTGAGTCTGAATAAGCTCTGAGAGTGAGCTGTGCTGTAGCTTGGAGAAGAATACCCTGTCTTAAAGTATGAGCAACATACCTTAAGACATGATGTAAAGCCTGCATATGCTGAATCCTTGGCTGATGCATAAACTGACTTAAGGATTGTACAGCAAAGGACAAATCTCGCCTTGTATGTGTGAGAAAATTCAATTTTCCCACAAGCTGTCTGTAAAGAGCAGGATTAGAACAAAAGTCACCTTGATGTGACACCAATTTTAAAGATTGAGGAAGAGGTGTCTTAGCAACCTTAGAGACATCAAACCCTGATTCAGTGATCAGTTCCTTTGAAAACTTTCTCTGAGTGAGAATTATTCCCTGGGATAAATGAAGAACTTCAATACCAAGGATATAGTGTAATCTGCCCAGATCCTTGATGCTAAAGACAGAATGTAAGTGTGCCTTTAAAGCCAGAATAGAAGCTTCATTTGTGCTAGTTATCACAATATCATCAACATAGACTGCAAGAATCATAGTATCAGATTCATCTTGTTTAAGAAACAAGGAATAATCATTCAGAGATTTTTTGAAACCAGAATTCTCCAATTCAAGGGTTAATCTAGCAAACCATTGTCTTGAAGCTTGTTTAAGTCCATAAAGAGACTTTTTAAGCTTGTAGACAAGATTATGAGGATTAGACATTCCTTCGGGCATCTTCATATAGATTTCTTCATGCAAATCCCCATGTAAGAAAGCATTGTTTATGTCTAGCTGATGTAAGTTCCATCCTTTGCTGGCAGCAAGTGCTAATAAACACCTAACAGTAGCCATTTTAACTACTGGTAAAAAAGTCTCATCAAAATCTATAACATAAACTTGTGTATATCCCTTGGCAACCAACCTAGCTTTCAACCTTTCAATAGTGCCATCAGCTTTAAGTTTGACCTTGAAGACCCATTTGCAACCAATGGCCTTCTTTCCTTTGGGAAGAGAACAAAGCTCCCAAGTCCCATTTCTTTCCAATGCCTGTATCTCATTCTACATAGCTTCAATCCAGCCTTGATCTTAAGCTGCTTCAAGGTGACTACAAGGTTCTGAGATACCAGTAGTGTGAGCAACAAGAGCCTGTAGAGAAACAGGAAGATCTGTGTACTTGACAACATTACACCAGTGAGAACTTATTGAAGCTGCTGTGACATAATCTTTATGCCAGTGTGGAGTTTTATGAGGCCTAGAAGATTGTCTTAGTGGTAGTGAGGAAGGAAGAGAGGTAGGTATAGTGTTTAGGGCTGTGTTTGGTAAAGTATTTGAATAGATAGGTATAGTGTTTAGGTCTGTGTTTGGTAAAGTGTCTGAAGGTTGAGAATCTGTAGGGAAAAGAAGAGGATTTGGAATGGTTTGAGAGGTATCTGGAGTACTTGGTGTAGCTATGGGTAGAAAAATAGGTTGAGGCTTATGAGTTGCAGAAGAATGATAGGGTAGGTGCTTTTCATAAAAATAGACATCTCTAGAAATAATGAATTTCCTTGTCTCCAAAGACATAACTTTGTAAGCTTTCTGGTTTGGGGGGTAACCAAGAAAAACACATGGTTCTGCCCTGGGATCAAACTTACTCCTGTTAGTTTTAAGTGTTGAAACATAACATAGACACCCAAAGACCCTGAGATGTGTCAAATTAGGCTTGTTCCCATACATTCTTTCATAAGGAGTGCAAAAATCAATAGAACTCAGAGGCATTCTTTTTATGAGATGTGTAGCACAGAGTAAACATTCCCCCCAAAGATAGATAGGAACATTTGACTGAAAATACAAAGCCCTTGCAGTCTCCAAAAGATGTCTATGTTTCCTCTCTACTACCCCATTTTGTTGGGGTGTATCAGAACAACTTCTTTGGTGCAAAATACCATATTTGTTATAGATTTGCACAATAGGACCTTCACAAAGTTCCTTAGCATTGTCTGAACTTATGTACTTAACAGTAGTATGAAACTTGTTATATATCATTGCAACAAAATTATCAAGTACATTTACAGCACTACTCTTGGTTTTCAACAGAAAAGTCCAAGTATGCCTTGAGAAATCATCAACAACTGTTAAAAACATACAATAACCATCATGTGTAGAAACCCTATATGGACCCCAAGTGTCTACATGAATCAACTCAAAACATCTAGTAGACTTAATATTACTATGAGGAAATGGAATCCTAGTTTGTTTTGCCTTAGGACAGACTTGACAAAAGCTGTCATGATCAGGACAACTAGGAATACTATGAATCACATGATGTATTTTGTTAAAAGGAAGGTGTCCTAATCGAAGATGCCACAATTTTGCTTCTTCAGAACTAGACAGTTGAGCTGCATCAGCAATTGAAAAATCAAGCTTCTTCTCATGTATACTATTTTCTTCTTCAACAGCATACAAACCAGATTCCAATCTACCAAGAACAAGTGTACTGTTCTGGGAATGATCCTGAACCAAACAAGTATCATGAGTGAATTTGATTTCACAATCAAGATCCTTACACAATTTGTGTGTACTGATCGAATTGAATGTGAAATCTGGAACATGTAGAACATTCTTCAATTCTAAACCACTTTGAAACTTGACAATACCAATATGTTCCACTTTCACACTTTTCCCATTAGCAACAGTAATAGTGTTTGGTATTTTAGTGAATTTCTCAAAAGAATGAAATAAATCAATGTTGCAGCAAATATGATCTGTAGCTCCTGAATCTACAATCCATTTAGAGTTAGAACAAGATTAGATCCGGGAAGGAAGAGAGATGAAAAAGAAAAAGAGAGATGAATAAGAGAGATAAAGAGCTTCAGATTAGATCCAGGAAGGAAGAGAGATGAAAAAGAAAAAGAGACAGAGTAAGTGAATTAAAAAAATATCAATCGTGTTTGTCGTGAGAAAAAAAATAGGTGTTGTGCGTGAGTTTCATCAAGAATTTTAGTTGTATTTCATTGTTCATTAGTGTTTATCATACAAATTTTGTTAAAATGAGTGTTTTTTGTGTTTAACCATGGAAGTAATGGTTAGTGTGGTGTGTTGATGGGTTCTCTTTCAACCCATGAAAAGGAATTTAATAATTCTGTGAAAAAAGGGCAAAAATTGTTTGAGGTAAAGATCGCATAATCTTTACAAGTGTGGAAGTTGTAGTCAACGCAGAGACGGTTTTCAAAGATTTTTGGTACGATACAAGGTGACATGGTCAATTGGAGGACAATGTCAAAGAGAGTTAATGGATAAATGTGCTCTATTGAAGCCGGTATGTTAGTGAAAATATTCATCAACAAGATCGAGTACATTGATGAGAAGTGCATCAATAAAAAATGTCGAAGTGTGGTTGTGTGAAGAGAAGCGCTCCGAGGATATTGTGTTGGTGATAATGTTCATCAACAAATTATGTGTAGGTGATGAGATGTGCATCACAACTTAAAACGTCTAGCAAGAAGTTATGAAATTCGAAGAAGATAGGAGAGCCTTCTAAAGTCTAGTGTCGTGAAAATCGGGGTTGAGGTATCTTGAGTGTCAAGACTGTTAAAGAGTGTCAAGTTCAAGTCGAAGTCCGTCGTCGCAATATGGTAGTAGAAGCTTAGCAATTGTACGTGACTTGGAAACAAGGGGTTGTGTTGGGTTGTGTTTCCAAGTTGAGGGTAGTTGTTTCCTTAATTGTAAGATTATTAATTAGTTTTATGTTTAGAGGGTTTTTACTTAGTCAAAGTATTGATATGGTATAGGTACGTTCATGTTTATTAGTTAGAGGGTAACTAGGTTAGTAGTAGACTAGTTGGTTTCTAATATTTAACATTGGTAGTTTATCATTAGCCTATTTAAGGGAATGAATGTATCTCAGTTTAATTAAGCAAATAATATTCAATGTTCATTGGTTTCCTTTGCTTCTTTATCTTTTTCTTTGATCTTATCTTTTATATTCAACAAATTGCAGTCGTCCGATTCCTGAATTTAACCTCTTTTCAAGGGAAAAACTATGCTTTAAGCCTTTAACCAGGCTAAACGGATTATTTTTACAGAATTGCACCAAGCTGTTCACCGGGTGCATGGTTCCACAATAGGGCGATGGGTTTGGGTTGTGTGGAGCAAGGAGAATGAATATAAGTTGCTATGATTTGGAGAATGGTACTTTAGGAGGTGAACTTTTGAAGTACGGGGATGTCATTGACAGTCAAGGCATATTCTATCTGGAATTGTTAAAGTGGTATTGTTAGTTAAACTTTTTACAATTTTGTGGTTAAAAAAAACTAATAGTTAATTGTTTTCAAAACACACACTTTAATTGGTAGTTCTTGATAAAATTTCCCTTATTTAACTATTTTTTTTTTATTGTTTTTTCAACAGAAAAAACTAGCTAATTTAGAATCTTTAGATCGGAGCGTGTGACATATGCCATATATAATTTTTAACTTGCATGATGCCTGTGCGACTACTATCGCTTAAATGATGAAGAATTCATGACCGATTATACTAGAATCTTAAAAATAAATAAATAAATAAATACAGTACTTTAAAATATTACATCAACAATAACCTAAATTGATTTGATGGTGTGGTATGATAATTTTTTTTACGTATTTTTGAATAATCTAGTCATTACCTAATCAGCTCAATGGGATAATGACAAAACTTTACTCTATCAAACTATGTACTATTCGTAAAAAGACACCCACCAATAGATGGGTAGCCATTTCAAAAGAATGATTTGTCTCTATCAAGATATATTGAAATGGACTATACATAAAAAGACAATCTATCCAACCAATTACAAGTTCAATGTGATATTCATTCTTTTCAATTGTGATTATGTGTACATGATTCACCTAGAAATAGATCCACCAGGTTTATACTTTTAAACTTTTAGTATAAAAATGTGAACACTTTACAAAATATATAATTAGTTAAAAATAAAACAAGTCACAAAAAGTCAAAACTGAACATAAACATACAATTTTATAAGTTTATATTTTTTACAGAAATGTTTATTTTATACGCATAAATATTAAATTTATATTACAAAACTATTGAATTATTATGAGCCTAACAAACTTCTTTAAAAATATTAATGTTTATTATATACTTCCTCTGTTCTTTTTTACTTGACTTGTTTCTTTTATCACGCTTGCCAATGCAAAATTTTAACGGTCAATAACTTTAATTCTCCATAATTAAAAAATATAAAAGTTATATATTATGATAGTACTTATTGAGATGAATTCAAAATGATCCAACATAAATATGTTTTTCCTTACATATTATTCACAAAATACGGTCAAAGGAGAGGTGGTGAATAGCGTAAAAGTCAAAGCGGGTCAAGTAAAAAAGAACGGAGGAAGTAGTGTTGTTTTAATATATTACATGTTCAAAATTTGCGATTGTTTAAATTTTTTTTTTACTAAATGTTCAAAATTTGCGATTGTTTAGATTTCTTTACTAATTGCTCAAAAGTATAGGCGTGGTGTATTACGATTGTTTAGATTTTTTTTTACTAAATGTTCAAAATTTTCGATGTTCAGATTTTCTTACTAAATGTTCAAAATTTGCGACTGTTCATATTTTTTTTTACTACATGTTCAAAAGTATAGGCGTAGTGCATTGCACTTGTTCAGATTTTTTTTTTTTTTTACCAAATGTTCAAAATTTTTGATGTTCAGAATTTTTTCACTAAATATTCAAAAGTATGGACGTGGTGCACCATATATATATATATATATATATGAAACAAATCAATTCATTAATAAAAAGCCAACCGACATATACAAATGAAATCAAATTAGAGTAACCTTAATCAAAGCTACAATCGTTAAAAAAATCTTGCACTAT